TGATCATTTGGTCCGAGAATCATGTGCCCTGAGCAAGCGCAGTGAGTAGTGTCCGACCGAAAGTTCGGTTTCGGTCGAGTTTCGGCAAAAAACAGGTTTCGGTTCAGTTTCGGTTTCGGCGGCAAACCTGCCGAAACTACGACCGAAACCGAAACTGCATTCGGGAGTACTCGCGCTGTGATCGGTCATGTTCGGCTCGTTAAATTTCATAAAAGTGATATTAAGTAACAACTCAAATAAGTAATTTTATCTTTAATATTTTTGAAAAACCATTGATAATATTCAAAAGAAGGATCTACACCTACTCAAATAATACTTCTCTGGAATGATGTGGTGGTGCTCCATCTTGTTGGAATACAATATCCATATCGAATCCATTAGGATTCGCTTCGACGATTTCAGTGATGAAAGGGTCAACAGTAGTTTCCAGCATATTCAAATATAGTTCCTAATATTCCTGCCCAAACGTAATTTTTCCGGATATTGGGTATGTGTTTCCCAACCATCAACAAAATTGTCAGAAAAATAGTGAAAGAGCGCCTGTTAGAATTTTCGAACTGACATAATATAATTGATGCAAATCAGTTGATACAGCTCCTTCCGAGTCCACTTCACTATTCCAAACGAGTAGAGTAAGATTGGAACGGCAAGCAATATCTTGCAGCAACTTTGTTCTTCACCGACAGTTCCGATGACCAGATCTGTCGAAGTTTGTGCTGATACTTGCCGCGGATAGAGTTTTTCACTGCTGTTACCTTTTGTGAGTATCGTTGTTCCACCTTGAGGTAAGTATATACGTCTCTCCGGCATCCAAACGGGGTAGGATGCTTCCATCTACCATACACCATCTATCAGTTGTCTATCCCGAATTTCATTCCGATAGCATGCGTGTACTCTACCGCCACCCTTAAAGACTGATGGAGATCCTTGTCTCCTGATGCATAAACTTCAAGATCATTCATATAAAACAGATGGGTGACCTTGTGCCTCCGGTTTCTGGGGGTGCCACAGTTATACCCTCTTGTGTTTCTGAGCGCAACTGATAATGGCAATAGTGAGATGCAGAATAGTAGTCGTCCTAAAACACACCCCTTCTGAAAGTGGCCCATTCTGTTTGAATTCTGGCTTGACCAGATGTTATGGTGAAGCGAGTTCGCCAGAGTGGTATTAGTTGTTCAATGTATCTCATTATTTTGTCGGGTACCACATGGTATCTGAGCAAATGCAAGATGAGCTCATGCGATATTGTATCAAATGCCTTACGGTAATCGATCCAGGCCAAAGAGAGGTTACGCTTCGAGTCCTGCGTTACACATCTATCGATAAGCAGGTTCCCTTTATATCCAGCGACTGCTCTCTTCGACCCTCTCTGCTCATATATACGTTCGACAACTCGTTCAACTGCGGCGAGTATTCGTGTGTATAAGATGCTTATAAACAACTTATAACATGAATTCAAGCATGTTATCGGAACCTAAGGTTTTCCTCGATACTTCACGCTCGCCTCTCTAGTGACTTCTTTGCAGCCAATAGCATTCGTATCCTATCAAGGCAGTGCTGTTTGGTGGTCAGCAGCACGCCTTGACTTAAAGTGTGATGTATACGTCGTAGTATGGCGGCTATTCGTCGCACTGCGGGCGTGAAAGGCCTGTTGGCCGCCCTGTAATCCATCGCACATTGGATACGAGACGCGTGTTGTCTCGCCGACGTGATCTTAGCCTCCATATTGTGTACACGCCATTCAACTTTACGAATCGCAAGGCTGAGATTTCGTCCTTCCGATTGGGAAAGCAATTGGACGACGCTATACACGGCGGTGTTGATTTGCCAGATGGCAGTCTCTTCTGTTAGAACACTATGAACCTCCACATCCAAACAAGCCAGTTCTTGTGTTTTCAGGGGCCTAATTCTATTTATTTTTTCTTCCAATCTCTACGGAGAGTAGTCTTCCGATTCTAAAAAGTTATTTCTATTTTTATTCAATTCTTTAAATTAATTTGCATTTGGACACATAGGAACGAGAGGCCCTTTTCTATCACATATATGGCAGTTACAATTTATATAAGAACACTTATCTTATCGGAGCATTCAAAATGTGGTGGTGGATCCGTACGGATTCCCCTCTTTGAGCCGCCGCTTCCTGATCCTGAATTGCCGCCGCTCGTACCTGCTGGACTGTTGTCTCCACAGTTGCTTTTCCTTGAGGTCTCTTGTGCTCAGAAGATCTGGACTTGTTATTCGTTTAGTAGATTTCCAGTTCTATCTTGACAGTCCTGTTGTTATTTTGTGCAACCGTACTTTTAGAAGACGCAACTACTATGATTTCAGCAAAAGTCTCTGTTTCTTTTTCTTCATATAGCCTATCCTTCACTCGACCAGAGTCATAACCGATGATAAAACGATTTACTAAAGCTTCATCAATTTTCTCAGTTCTAGAAAATTTGCAATTTGCCACTTATGCTCGCAGTCTTACAGCTGGTTTTTGTGCTTTGAAAAATTTCTTCGCGACCAACAAAAACTGACACCAGTGGTTAAAAATAATTGTCTATGGATTTCACAATATCTTCGTAAGATTTTGTTTCCGGTTCTTCTGGAATAAACAAATGGAATAGTAGATGTTACGCCTGCTTCTTCATTCAATGAACTTGAAAGAATGGCACGTTTCAGTTCACTTTTGTCGATACTATTTGCCGTGAAATAATTGTTTAAACGACGTTTATAAATCGATCAATATGGACAGATATTTGAGTCTGATATCAAGGAAAATACTATAGGCATTCCACAGGGAAGTGTAACAGGTCCTATTCTATTTGTACTTTTTATAAACGACATTTTAGATATTTTAAATAACGAGGGAGGGACTATCACTAATTATGCCGATTACACAAATTTACTGGTTCTTAGCTGCAACTATCGAAATTCAATTACTGAATCATCCCATTTAGTCGAAAAAACACAGCACTGGTTTTGTAAAAATGGCCTTATTCTTAACACCGATAAAAACAAGGTGATTCTATTTAGAACCCTTCAACAAAGAATTGAGTCACCAACAACTGTTCACTCAGCAAATAATCAAATGAAAGTAGAAACCTCAACAACATTATTAGGTAAACACATCAATGAGCATCTTCAGTGGCATACCCACATTATAAACTTAGGAAAAAAATTGAAACAAATCTGCTACAGTGTAAGGATTATTAGTAGGTACATATCTTAACAAAAAATCGATAAAAATCATATATGCAGCAAATTTTGAGTCTTCCTCAAAATTAGGTATATTATTCTTGGGATCTTGTAGTGGCATCTCGAATATATTTGGAATTCAAAAAAAGGATCAAATCATACCTANATTTTAAGTATTTTTGAGGTGCCATCAATATTTTTTCTCAATTAAGGGTTTTTTATGTTGATTATCAATAAGTAAAAATGACGAACACTGCATAACGTTGTGATTTGAAGATAAAAAAATTAAGACTAACTGATTAAAATAACCTTTTCTTTATTTTTCCTTCAAAACATAATCCTTGTAAGGTAGCTTCGGTTTCGGCTGAAACTGAGACCGTTGCAGAAATTCATTTTCGGTTTTGGTCGTGAAAACCAGTTTCGGTCGGACACTAGCAGTGTGTCAAGAATGACAGCCTTCTGGATCTGTGTGGCTAAAATTTCTCCTTTAGTGCGGCAAGCCGGTATGATTTTGAGATTCAAGAGTAGAGAGGGCATCATTCCACCAAGGACTCCAATAATCAGAACAACCATCCTAACAGAGTGGTCTGGATAGAGTCTGTGGAGTTTGAATAGAAAATCTCGATATTTTATCCCTTTTTCCTCCTCTTTTCGGACGATATTCGTCCAGAAGGTGGTCCAGAAGGACTACATCAGGCTTATTAGATTGTATAAACCTGAGGGTGGGAAACGAATAGTTTCAATAAATTCGGCACTTCTCTTTCCCCACAACAGATTCAATATCCCCCGGAGCGTAGGGCAACACCGAGGTCTCGTCAATACCGTAAAAGTGCCGTAGATGGTAATATAGCACTCTTAGGGCTGCGTTATATCGATGGATATAGGCCGAGACCGCATATGCTGGAGCTATTAAAATCAACATAAGCAGTGCTTGAACAGGGAATAATTTTATTTCAAAATTCCATCCATATCTTTATCAAAGTACTCTTGAATTACACAAAATCGTAAAGCTATCAAAAGAAAGTGTTGGCTTTTTATTGCGTGAGCATTTGAATAAAAGAAAGCTATGTTCAAAGTGGATGCCGCGCGAGCTCACTGTTGACCAAAAACGTCTTGATGATTCCAAGCGGTATTTGGACATGTTTAAATATAACAAACTAACATTTTTGCATCGATATATCTGACAATGGATGAAACATAGATCCACCACTTCACTCCGGAATCAAAACAATCGACATCTGAGTGGAGAGCAATTGGTGAACCTTGTCCGAAGAGCCCGAAAACACAACCATCGGCTGGAAACGTTATGACCTCAGTATTTTGGGATGTGCGTAGTATAATATCTATCGATTATATTGAGAAGGGGAATACAATCAACAATGAATATTATATAGCGTTATTGAGGTGTTTGAAGGCAAAAATTGCAAAGAAACGACCGTATGTGGCAAAGAAAAAAATTTTGTTTCATCAAAATGACGCACCGTCTTACAAGTCAATCAAAATAATGGCGAAACTACATGAATTGAACTTCAAATTGCTCCCACATCCACAGTATTCGCTAGATTTAGCTCCCAGCGACTACTGGCCGTTCGCAGATTTATTTTTCGCCTTTAGAGGCAAAAAATAAATCGTTTTACAAAAGTGGAAATGTTAGAGCGATGCTGGATTGATTGTGTGGCTCTTGATGGAGATTACGTTGATCAATGAAGCCAATTTTGAGAAAAGATATAACGCGTTTTTTTCAGGCCTGGGACTTTTCAGCCCATGTGTTATCATTTATTAATAATGATTTTGACAAACTTTTCATTAATACGTACGTTGCACGAATATCAGTGGGAGTTCCAGCCCACTTATTCAATATCTTCGGCTTGAACAACTGTCCAAACGTCGACCTAAACATCCTGTTCATACAGCAGTACAGTATGAAGTTGATTGAACCGTTGACGAGAGCCATCATATCCATAACTTCCCCATAGTGTTGGTAGCACGTCAGAAACAGATCCTTTCCCTTCAACCCAATGAAGAAGGCAAATAATCCTTGCGGGAATTCGGTTACGAGAAATAGCAACAGCACCGCTATCAGCATCTTTGTCGTTCTGTCTGCCCTTCTTTCGGACTTCGTTCCTTTGCGTTTCGGCTCTTTGCCGTTCTCCGTCAGAGGAAACGAGTCATAACCTCGCAGCACTTGCTTTCGTTTTTTGGCTACGAATAACGTGCGTATCAGCCAGCAGCTGATTATGGTAAGAATGGCACAAGGCAATAACTTGAGGATGACTGCGAAGAACCAGAAGTTTACTTTGAGGAGGGTTTTGTCCGAGTTGACATTACTGGTGAGGCTGATGTGATACAACGTGAATATTTGTCCGTACTCATCAATGTCTGTGGAGGTTATTTCGAAGATATAGTAGTTCGGGATGCAGAGAAATATGGGGAGGATGTAGCAGGTCCAGATGGCGAAAGTGCATCGTCTGTCTGTACAGAGAATGTGGTTTTTCTCGGGGTACCTGTAACAAAGAGCAAAAGAAATTGAAAGTGTGAATAAATGAAAAGTACCTCAAAGCTTATCTTTGAAAGAATCTTTAATTCTGTATGGAGCCGATCTGAGTGGGGTTTTACAATGAATCAAACGAATTAAATATTGTATTTGTGCCATACAATTACAGAAGACACCATGTCTAGAGTAAATCGAACTGAAAAAAAAAAATTCGCGATCCTACGAATCGTATATATGTTAGATGATTGCTATAGCAAACTTTATATGTTCACTTACTATTAAGAGGGTATTTATGAATAAAATGTCTTCTCAGGAAAGAGGCACATTGTCTACAGCTGATAATAAAAATGATACTTTATTTCCCAGTGAAAAAATGAAAAAACGTGTATCAATGCAATTTTATAAAACAGAATTGAACAAGAAAGTTCATTCTATACAGGGTGTAACTGAATAAGTGGAGGTGATTCCTCATCGGAAAAAAGATAGGATCTTTCATATAAAGAAATTTCATTGGAGCATCCCTTGTTAAGATACAGCCCCTTAAAGGGGGTACATAAAATGTGTATAACAATTTTTTTTGGCCTCGATCAAATGGTGAGGCATACGTTCAATTTTTAAGAGAAGTAAATTCAGTACTGCTGGTGGAAGTTCCTCTGGGCGTCAGAAGGGATATGTTTTTTTGATGTGGAATCACCTCCTTGAATGTTTTACACTTATTCAGTTACCCTGTATTTATGATAAATATGAGTTATCGGAGAAACTTCAGTAATGCATGTTACGTTCCCATGTTATCCAACGTATAATTTTCTGATGAATATTTGTTTTGGATTGAAGAAACCGAAACAAAAGCAATGATATCTGATAGTTTGTACTGGAACCTCTGGCGTAAAATGAATCTATCCAAAAAAACCCTCTTAACACCAGAACGAAATAACGGTCTCTCGATGCGCGTTTCGCTCACCAAGTTAGTGTCTTCAGGAGATCATTATGACAGTCATAATAGGTGGGTTGTTGTTTTTCCGTTGGGTATCTGCTACACGTATCTACAAAGTCGTAGGTCTGCATGAGAGGAAAGGGGCAATCTTGAACATGTCATAATGCACCTGTCCGGAATATTAATCGTATATATATGAGGTGTTCCATATAAAACTCCACAAGCAAATATCTAAATTATGAAAAAAAATATCCATATTTCTTAAAAGCAGATAATTTTGGTGTCAAAGGGTCCTTTTATTTACGTTGAGATCCAGCTCTAGGCGTCATCCGTTTTTTTAAATGGTAACCCAGTATTTTCAATTGGTTTTTGAATTCTGCATTGAATTCTGAAATCAGCCATATAGCACACTTGTAGTTTTCCTTGAAGACTGATGAAAAAAAGGAATTTCATTGCGTATTATAAAGAGGGCCATGAATGAGTCAAAATAAATGCAATAATGTATTTATCGATCTGTCAGAAGACCTGTCAGATTTGAAGAAAGTGTATTCAATTTTGAGTTGGTTTTTCGTAAAATTGAAAAATTGTTTAATTTTCAAATGCAGAAAGATTGGATATGATATATATTTATGGCGAAGCAAGGAAGAATTCAAAAGAAGCAGTGAGAATATACGCTAATCGGTATCCTGACAGAAAATTACCGCCAGACAAAACATTCGTTTACTTAGCCAAATCTTTGGCACGAAATGAATGTTTTGATGAACGGAAGCGAAAAAAAAAATAAAAACCGCTACTGATGAGAATCACAGTGTTGCAGTGCTAGGTCAAATAGTGTTGGATCCATATAGTTCTACCAGACAAGTAGCCATGCAGTGTAACATTTCGAAATCGTCAATACAACGTATTTTGTCAAAAAACAAATTCCATCCATACAAAATACATTTGGTTCAAGGACTACATCCAGGTAATAATCTTCATGTTTCATTTTTACCAACTAAAATATATTCCCATATTCAGGAGATACTGATAGAAGATTGAACTTCATTGCATGGTTGTCCACCCGTATTCATGATGATGATCAGTTTCTGAAAAAAAATATTAATGGAGTGATGAAAGCCGTTTCCATAACAACGGTATAATAAACAAACATAATTGTCACTATTGGTCTGACGTGAACCCTCATTGGGTGCAAGAAACGAGATTTCAGTCTGTGTGGGGGTTAATGTTTGGTGCGGAATCATTGATGGTTATTTAATAGGACCTCATTTGTTCGAAAGAATTCTCAACGGAAGAGGTACTTGGTTTTTCTACAACATGTGTTGCCGAATTTCTTAGAGAATTAACCAATATAAACTCGACTGAATATGTGGTTTCAACAAGATGGGGCACTTCCACATAATAATAGAATAGTTACCCAATATTTGGATGATACTTTTGATGAGAAATGGATTGGAAATAAGGGTCTAATACCATGGCCAGCTCGAAGTCCAGATAAATGTAGAGGATTTGAAAAATAGTATTACAAATGTTTTTACTTCCATAACGCGAGAGACGCTTTTAGCTATCACGGATCGGGAATTACTAAAAAGATGCAATGTGTATTTCACGTGAAGGGAGGCAGTTCGAACACTTACTTAAATGATTCTTGTTATCACTAATTGATTTCGTTATCAACATGTTAGTCAAGTTATGGTCAAAGTAACATATTTTTTGGTGATTTGAAACATTTATTTTTATCTGTACAGAAATACGCAACTAGATAAAATTGAACAGACAATGAAATCATAACTGATGGATTCATTTTATTATACTCGTATTATTGCATCAATTTTTACTTATTCCTGGCCCACTATATATATATATATATTTGGGTGATCAGCAGAATGGAAGTGCACTCTCATAACACAAGTTTTTCCAATATTTCGATAAAATTTATCATCATCTTCAAGGAAAAGCTACAAATTTTGTTCGATGATAGTACAATATGAAAATTATTATGAAAGGTCGCAACTTATTATATCTAGGAAACAGAATTATTGCTACATTTTCTAGTCGCACAAAACGTAGTTTTATCAATATATTGTAATGGAAATTTGGTAGAATTGGTTTAAATATATGGCCTTGGTTCGCATACAGTTCTATCTACCAATTCATTGATTGACTGAAATAATCTTTATATGAAATAGTTGTCTATGAAAACAATTGTATTCACTCTCTATATATCAATTACTTCAGGGATGACTTTTTATTATCTTGATTATGAACCAGTTTTCCAGCTCATCTATTTTCTCACCGACCAAAGTGAGCTGTTTTGAGTGTAATAATAATTGACTGTCTAATTTATGTTCGTCTATGAATTGATAATTCGTGGAAACGGCACCTGCGATTATCTTAGGTGGATGTTGATAAATATTCATGAATGTTGATCGAGCCATGTTGGGTTGATGAAGTTCGACTATTTTCTTGCAAGCAACTATTTTATCTATAAACATTATTCAAGTCAATCACTGAATTCGTAGACAGAATTGTTTGCGAACCTAGGCTATAAGTTACTAATCTGGATAACGTTGTTTGTGACTAGAAGATATAGCAGTAATNCTCAAAACGTTCTTTCCAACAGTCGCCCACGTGCGACGGAGGTCACCAGAAAACCTATTTCGCTGAAATGATAAAACTCATGATTTTAATGCTAAGATATTGATATGCCATATTCACATCCCGAGCCGTTTTCAGCTACGTGACAAATATATCTGACTGTGCATGTTTTCAAAACACGCCGATGAATAGTGTTTATATTAACACTCTCAGTCTGACCATAATTTTAGATTGTTTGAGAGACAGATCCGGTGTTTAAAAAATTCCGAATTGAAGAAATTCTCTCTTCCCGAAGTTAGAATGTATATTACCATATATAGCTTTCGCTAGATATTACATCGGTACTTCTAATGATTTTCTCACCTGTGTCATATCAAGTACAGTTCGACAAATCTATCTATGGTTCTAAATATCAGATGGGCAGTAGATCAGCCGGCGGAGTGGTGCGAGAGTTCATTAACATCGAGGAACTCTAGTAACAAACATTGTGTTCGTACAGTAAGTGGGGAAGTTATTCTGTGTTGTGAACCTTGAATCATTTGGTGTCTTTGAAAATGCCTTTGAACAGTAAACTGAAATATTCAGAGACCTCCGAGTTCTAGCACGGCCAAATTTATGGATCACTAGTTGTTGCCCACGACTTCGCTCGCGTTGAACTTGGTTTGACACATTGAGTTCCGTGAAATACCATTTTATACAAATAGTAACAATATTTTTTTATTATTCCAAAACTTTGGGTTTCCAACTTCAAAACTGACGAAATTCAATACAATCTTTGAACCTCTACTTTTTCCCCTTGGAGGTGGAAATTCCTGATTTCCTCTCTTGATGCTTATTTACGCTAAACAAAGGACCTACCTGCATATTTCAAGATTCTAGTTTCAGTATCTTTGGCTGTAAGTTAATATAAGAGCGGGCAACAGCTAGCAATTTATATTTTTACTTTGAAAATACAGTAACTGAAAAATATGCCAACTGCACTAAGTAATGAATGGCTTCGAGAATCGAATTATGTTACCTATGAAGAAATTAGCAAAACTAACTAACAACCGTCAACGACGTCTGCCCTCACGAGTCAGCCCGCGTTCCGGTCGCGTTCTCGGCGATGGCGCTTTATGTGTAGGTTGACAATTTGCAAGAAATTCCTTAACCATAGGACACTCAAGTCACAAGAAAAAAACGCGTCAGAAGAACATGGTCTACCTTTCGAAGCCTTCTCGAAAATGTTAATTTTCTGCCATGTAGGATCTGCTATGTTAGATTCAACATGAGTTTTACGATTTGTTATGTTAAACTCTTAACTTTCAGTGCTAATGGAACCATCAGTTGTCATTTTTCTCAACTACATTTCTTCTTGATATTCCCATTATGTTGATAGAATCGCCGTCTGTGTGAACCTTTGTTGGGTTTGAAGATGACATTCCAAATTCCGAGTCATTAGACAAAACGAATGATTTGGTATCAGAAATTTCAAAGTTATT